TTCTGAAAAACAAGAAAATATTATATGAAGAATATAGAGAAAGTGTTTGTATTCAAAAAACCCACTGATGCACTTGTTGTCATCTGTCAAAGGAGCACTATACTCGTAGCAATCGTAGCAAACTGGTTTTCGATGTGTAATATTACAGAATTTGCATGAATTATCTTCGGAACAGGCTGTAAATAATTAGAGTAAAAATGAAATTCTATGGCAGGAGTAAAGCAATCTAAAAAATCCAAATTTTCCTTGCGTATTGAGCTCGTATTTTTACTATAATTTTTGTTGGAAATTATAAGAAATTCCGGGAAAAGTTGAAGGTGAAATGAGATGTATAGGAAAAAATGTGTATATAACTGTCTTCAGCTTGAGTACTTGTTATAATGAGTTTAAAGGGAAAAAAACGTGTAAGATATGATGATCATCGGAAGAATGTTTCAAAGTAAAGTATTAAATATATCGTTCAGTTTTTTAAATAATGAAATTATATTCTGATAAATTGAAGAAATTGCTTAAATTTCATTTATCTGCATAATTGACTTTTTTCCATGAAAAATAAAACCAGCTGTCTCTTAAGTTGAGTAGTACAATACTTATTTGGTATGACTGATATTCTTTCATGAAGCATATACAGACTAAAATGAAAAAAACCTTAAGAAAAATAGATAAACATTTACCAAAGCAGGTTTTGGAGTCGGGATCTACAGCATAACCAGCAGAGCATGCAACGCATTGTGTTTTATCACCAGACCTAATCAAACTGCATTTTATACAGTTTGCGGTACAATCTGAAATTAAGAAAAACATTAGCATCACCAGAACCACTTAAACTGCATTTCATACAGTTTGCCGTACAGTCTGAAATGACGATAGAGAATGAATGGAAAATAGAATTAATGGCAAAGAAATGAGGATAGAAATATTGAAAACATACCAATACATTTCTTTTGATCGATAGATAAAACTTGATTAGAGGCGCATGACAGACACCTCAAGTCTTTTTTCCCGCAATTTTGACAATTTGGTACAGTGTGGCAGCCAGATGTGGTTGCGCATTGCATGTGTTTAGCAGCAAGGCAAATTGTTACTAAAAACAGAAATAATTTCATATTGATCTTCCTTCAACTTTTGCAATAGAAAAATGGTTTAAGCTGAAAACTTTTACAGCTACTTTATCTCTTCCCTTACGTCGCTTGAGGAATCTGTAGGGAATGAATGGTGGTGTCTGAAGCTTATATAAGAATTTTTTCAATCTGAAACGAAAAGGTTAAATGAAAAAATTAAAGTAAAAGTGTAAATATTGAAAAAATAACCATTAATGGCGAAACAATGACTTCCCAATTCCGTTTTAATATTTTTAAAGAAATCAATGACTTTGTTGTTAATTTTAACAATACAATGAATTTCCAATTCTTGAGAACCTTTTATTAAAGATTGTCAAAGAGAATGAAAGAAGTTTTTGAACGATTATCAAATATTTCTGCTTTAAGCACAGTAAGTTTTTGTTCAGTTTTATTTTAGTTCCCTAAAAACGCTCATGTTTTTCATAATATATTTGTCACTTGAATGAAATTTCCCGTTTCTATGTAGCAAATTCAACTTTCTCTTTCTATTTGATTTATAATCGTTTCCTCACAGATTATTTACGGATGTTCAGAAAATTGAATGCTTATCATTTGACTTATTACATATTGGCAGAAATTTGTAAATTGGGATTAATTGTTACCTCAACACTTTAGTTGTTTGTTTAAAAGGCAACAACTGCAATAGATAGAGTATGTGTACAGTTAAAATTATCTTAAACTTAAGGCAATAGTTTACCTTACATCATCAAATAACAACGAACATCTAGAAGTTTTCACTTATATTTCTTTCTATTACCTACATTTAGTTTTCAGAATAAAATGTTCGATATTCAGATCCTGCTTTTCTTAAATTACGAGAACATTAAAATACATAAATTACATAACTTTAAAATCATCACAAAATTTAAATTAACATTCTTTTCATGATCTGAATAGTTTGTTGACATTATTAGACTTTCATAGCAGTAAAAATAGCTGCTAGAATTAGCGTAATGTTCATAAATATACCCTCAGCTCCGGCATCGCCATTGTTAAAGAATATATTACATTTATCTCCTACGCAGCATTTTTCACATGCTTTTGTACCATCAGATGTTTTCTTGCAGTGCTCCTCCACTGTTGAACTACTACATGTCACATTTCTACATTCTCTTGTGAATGTTGTTATGCCTCCCTTTTCTAATCTAGAAACCCAACAGGCACCGCCGTTACCTCATTCTTTCAATTTGAATGTATCAGTTTCATTGACCAAATTGGATTGCTTCTTTCCGCAATTAGCTTCATTTCCAGAACAAGTAAGACATTTGACTGTTCAGAGTTCATAAAAGCATGGGTTATAAAAGTATTGAAAAAAGTGATTTTGCATATATGTTTACCTGAGCATTGAGTGTCATTTTCGTAAAGGAGAATAATGGTTGTTTTAGAGGAATATTAAATATTATGTTGTTGGCTTTTCACGACATACACAATGTCATTTTGTTCAAAGTAAAACGAGATTTTTTTAGTTTTTTTTACTTACCTGACAACGCAAATGATTTTCATAAACAGTTGTTACTCGAATGAAATTTTCTGGTTTTTTTTTTAAGAAATTCAACTCTTTGTTTATGCCTGACATCATAACTTTTTATCTAATGAGAAAATAAAGAAAGACGTCTCGATTTGATACCAAACACAAGTACTAAATCATTTATTATTCGCAATACTCAATGGACTTGTTACTTCCTTGTAAAGCTATACAAGATGAAGGTTACGCAGCTTCATTATTAATCTAATTACTTGAAGAGGTTAGTGATTTACAATCGTTTCCTCAAAGATTGCCTACACATGTTGAAATCCTATGAAGGTTTCCGCTAACGATGTCTATAGCTGTGTCTATTGATTGTTTTATGTGATTTGTATTGCTATGCTTGTTTTGATAATGCTCAACACAAGACGAAAGAATATTCAACACAAACTGTTTGTTTATTATATCGCTGTGGAGATTACAAATGCAGAAAATTAAGTGCTTATTGTTTAATTCATCATGTAAAATTACAAATTGCCAGATGACAACAAATGCCTGAGTATGTTTTTTTTATGTTAACACTCTTTTTAAATGAAAAAATGAAGATCATTTTCTTAATGATAATATTTTTTCATTTTCAAGAATGTCCCAGTTTCTGCCAAACTAATCTGATAAATTATGCTCTTTAGGCAGTTCCAATTGTGCTGAAATGTTTTGAATTAAATTGAATTGAATTGTAGAGGAAGTTTCCTTTCATAGAAATTACCTCTACAATTTCCTACATCGAAATTCAGAATAAACCTTGGTTTACATTCAGTACAAAGTGTGCCAGTTTTAGCATCATTCAATTGACAAGTTAGACAAGGGTTGGGGAAACCTTGGAGCGAATCCAGACTTGCAAACTTGACATTTATTTGGTGAATTATCGACTTTCAATGAACATGTTAAGCAGTTAGCCATACATGCAACACATGGTGTTTTCGCATTGTGCAACGAAAATTCACTGTTACACCTGGAACACACCAATACTTTTGATGGTCCTCCTTGAACAGCAATTAAGCAAGTTTCACAATTTGGGGGACATGTTCTACATATCTTGGCTACTTCATCGAAATTAGTATTCAATTCACAACCGGAACATTGCGTTGTGAAGGTTTTCTCAACTGAACAAGTTTTACAATTATTTGTACATTTTGTGCATGACGTTTTATCATCAGATATTGAATATCCATCATTGCATGTATCACATTTTGAACTATCTGATTGGCAGTAGACTACTTGGAGGCTTTGACAAATAGTTTTTGTAGCATCCGGAAATTCGGCAATATTTATTCACTCTTCGCATGGCAGTAAGGGCCTGTACAAGCTATCCAGTTGGCTCCTTCTAAAGCTTTTCCTATATGGCATTCTGAGCATTGTCCAAGAGCGCCAATAGCACAAGCTGTACAACCAAATGTGATGCAATGATGACAGGCATCAGTGCCATCAAATACACTTCCATAGTAACAAGCAGTTGGTTTACATTTGGATTTTTCGTTGAGTATGCAATCTTTGTAGTTAGTAGCTGTACAGACAACGCAATCTGTTCCATCAAGGCTTTTCCTATATCGCAATCTGTACATTGTCCTGGTGACTCCTGGGTCACAAGCTTTACAGTCATTGACGGTACAAGCAACACAAAATCATTGATTTCTTTTAACTATTCCAACAAAAACTTTCCAACTTCTATAAGCTATTACGCCGCTATTCATTTACTATAATTTCCTCAAGCAATGGTTGACTATATATAAAGGCAATTTGAACGACTTTTAAAGACAAAAATAACCTCTTTCAACAATTCAGAAGCTTGAAGCTTCAAAATTACGTTGAAACATCTGATAATTTTTTATTATAAATGATATGGAGTATGTAAACAAAATGTATATTTCAGAATATTTAGGTGTATACTGCATCATTTCTCATATTTATTAATGTATCTTCAAATTTTATAACACGTGTGCTATTTGCTTAAAAGAAGCATTATAACAAACTTAAAAGGGGTACGCTATATTGTTGAATTTCCATACTAGTGCTGCCATCTGTAATTGAACACACAATTGAAAATTAATTATTTAGTTTAATTGGATAGGAACTGTAGTGAATGATTAAATGATTTATTAAAAAACTCATTTTTCTTAATTATCTTTCTGTCTCTCTCTACGTAACTTTTCACATTCTACCGTTTCCTTCCCTTTTCCTTCCTTTACTTGCAATTTTAAAGAGTATCTATAAAATGTTTGATGATCGAGTAATTTCTTTGAATTCATCTGGAAAGATTCTTTTAAAGGTTATCATTCAATTTTTTCAAACTCCATTTAAAAAAACGTATTAAACTTGATTTTAAAAAGAAAACAATTATTTTTCAGAGTAGCGCCATCTATAGGTAATCGTTGCGGTTTCTAGAACGTTTTGGCCAACATAGCGAGGGAATTTTAAAGTCTAATAAAAATTTGGTGAGTTATTTAATATTACTAATCCTTTAAAGACAATGTAATTTATCGTTCTAAACTTTAAATCAATACGGACTATCCTAAATAAACTTTACAATAGACTATAAAAAATATCGAGCGATAATAAGGTATTTTTTCAAACCCTTTTATTGATTTAAAATATATGTTAAAAAAAAGAGTAAAAATTGAATAAATAAGGAATGAATAATTAATATCAACTTTTTAATAGATAATGCTTGAATTTGAATTTTCCGAAAAGGATTTAAATTTTGAATGTACTGGTTGGAGAGATTTGGCGAATATTGAGGAAACTTTAACAAAGGTATGGTAATACAACTACACCTACGTTGTCGTTTAACGATATACAAATATTGTTTGTAGTTTGATAGAGCGCTTTTTGAAAAATGGCGGGAAATTAGTAATAATGGAATACTTATGTATAAACTGGATGATTTAGAGGGTAGATGTATTGGAGATAGGTATAAATTTCAACTGCAGCTTAATCCTGAAAGAGTTAAGAAGAGAAAAGGACCAACTATCTCACAGATAAACATTCCATTTGATCCCAATCGCTTTCATTTTGGTAAAGTTAGACAAGAGGAGATCCTATTCAAGATAAAAGATAACCTCATCATCATAAATATATACCCGTTGGACATTGGGCACGTTCTACTAGTTCCTTCGATTGACCGTCAATTACCACAGTCTCTAAATGATTCTGCAGTTCTGTTCGGCGTCGAGTGTTTGCTTTTGAGTGGACATCCGTAGTTGATTAATTTAATTAACTTAATTAGATTTAATGATTTGATTATTGTTTTTTTTTCTTTTTGACAGGGGATGTACAGTAGGGTTTAACAGTCTTGGGGCTCTAGCCTCGGTCAATCATTTACATATGCATATGTGGTTTGTCAGAGGACAGTTACCCATCTCATCTGTGGTAATGTACCATTTTCTTTATATAGATTATTAATTTTTTTTGTCTCTTCTCTACCCTTCTCTCTTCCCTTTTCTTTCGATTTTTTCTTCTTTTCCTATCTAATCTAATCTTATCTATTTAATTAACCTAAAGGAAAGCAAGAATATTAATGACTTATCAAATAGATAATAATATTACTCGCCATGAACGATCCTTAATCTAATTTCCAATCATTGAATATCATTTCTTTTCCCTTTCTATATCAATAGTCCGCAACGCCCTTTATAAATAGAGAGTAATCAGTCATTTTCCTCTTGTTCAATAAAAAAAAAGGGAAGAGAGATGTCAATGCCAAAACTTCTCTCGAGATATATAGATAGATAGATAGATAGAGGGGCGAAAGAGAGAGTTTATATGAAGTCAATATAAAAAAGTGCTAATAATATACACTCTTCAAGCTTTTTTTCTTCTTCTTCTCTGACACTCTTATTATGTTTATAAATGAGCTATTTATAGATTTATAAATGCATTTCTTATCAAACAGGAAGTACGTGAAATAGAAGGAACTACGTTATCGATGGGTGACGTCACAAAGGATGACTACGTAGTACGTCTAGTGGCTTTTCAAATGATTAATAACGACGTGAATAAATTTGTGGAGTAAGAGTCACTTTATCATTTACGTTTAGTCATCTTTCTTTTGTTTAACCTTTTATTGTCTTTGTTTTTTATAGATTAATCACCGCCTCCGCCCAATATTTACAAAAAAAGGAAATCGCCCACAACATCATCCTTGTCAAGGGATCTAACTTTTCCAAGAACGGAAATACTATTAGAGCTTTTGTGTGGCCTAGACAATCAATTTTAGGTTAGATGTCAACCTATTCGTCCGTGCGTCCGCGCATCACCCAATGACACTTTTGACTTTTTACATTTTTCCTTCATTTACTTTCTTTTGTCGAAGCTTAATAACACCAACAACATTTTTAATAGGTGAACCGAAAAATCCCATTAATCATTTCGTAGCAGTTGCCGAAGTAGCTGGTCACGTGACTGTATATAGTAAGTTAATAAGATTGCATAGCAAATTGTCGAAAAGGATAATGAGGCTAGAAAACTTTTTGTTCTATTAGATGAGGAATTTTATAGGACAGCCAAAGAAGAATTGATGTCAGAGTCGATTAGAGAGCCTGCATTCGAAGACAAAGTTTTTGATGAGATTAGGAATGGATTAGTAAATACGGTTAAGAAAATTTTATAATCTTAACAATAATAGAATTAGAAATCTTTTGATATTTAATTGGTTTGTTATTATTCAAATAAACTAATAAAATGGGATAAAGGAGAAAGGAAAAAGAAAAGAAATCTTTAAATTGAATGAAAAATAAGGATAGAGTACTTATCTAAAAAATCTCGCGATACTGATATTCAATAAATACACGGAAGCGCCTTTTTTTCTCTTTCTTTATTCCTATCAGTCCCTCTCCCTCCCTCTCTCTCTCTTTCTTTACTTTCTTTCCTTTACTATTAACCGAATGAATAATTCAAAAGAGACGCAATTTTATAAGTTTTGTATATATTTATACTGTATTTATATATAAGTAGAAACGTATATTCAAGGCTGGTATCTGTTAAGGCATTGTGTTTTGTTTTCCCCGCTTAAAATACAAAAAACAAACATATTATCACATTATCTCCAATGGAAAAGTATATGTAGTATATATCAATAATAGACAAGAATTCTTATCATTTCTTGTCTCCTTATCACATTGAATAAAATGACTAGAGAAGATGAAGTTTTTTCAAAGAAACACATCATATTGAGACTCTTAACAACTAAAGATAAAATATATGTAAATGTAGAATTGTTTATGTACACACATACACATGTAAATTGATATTCAAATGTGGAAAATGATAAGAATTAGTCGAATAAACAATCCTTATTCGACATTTAAATAGATAAAGAAAAAGGAAGAGGGAGAGAGAGAGAGAGAGAGAGAGAATAAAATATAAAAAGAGATAAAATACGATAAACAAAGACAGAAGGAAAAAATTGTTAAGATAAAAGATGGAGAAGAAAGAATGATTAACCGTCCGTAATTTTGTAATGTAAACTCTTTTCTTTCTTTTCTCTTCTCTTCTCATTCATTGTTCATTTTTTTCTTTATTACATAATTGAAATGGAAGACTGTTGAACGCAGTCCGGGTCAAACCAATTGTCGTACTCGAAATCGACTGGGTCGCACCTTTGCATTGCAGCGGTAAATCGAGCTTGCATTTCAGCCGGATTTACGATATATTTAGCACCAGCCGGAAGAGATGCTTCTTGAACGTCTGGTCTCCATACTGGACTAGGCGTTTCTTGGCTATACTCTTTCTTGACCAGATAATTCTGAGCGCAGTAGGGGGAAGGATATTGGGGCGGAAAATCGTGGGCAACTAATGACCTCGGGTTTATTTGCATGGTACCAGCAACCAAATTCATTGTATTTTGCGATAACCCCTTTGAAAGAGAGCGGGCAAAGTAGACGCTGTCGGGTTTCTTGCCTGATCTCAATATTTCGGATAGGACCCCGATATAATTCCTCGCTAATCTCAATGTCTCTATTTTACTTAGTTTCTGAGTAGAGCTCTGACCGCATGGAACGTGTTCTCGAAGTTCGTCCAAAGCCTCGTTTAAACCGTGCATTCTTGATCTTTCTCTAGTATTCGCTTTAACTCTTCGTAGTCTGAGCTTTGCTAGTCTGGCTCTGGTTAATTTCTTCTTTTTGGGACCTCTCTTCTTTGGAGAGTCCTCTTCTCTCTCTCTCGACTCCAATTGTTTCTTGGCTCTTAACTTGTCGCGTTCATTTGCTAGAGGAGTGCCGACGAGATCTTCTTCAACGTCGGATACCTCCGATTGATCTTCTTTCTCGTCGTCGGCCATTCTTTCTAGCTCGCGAACTTCGTCTGGTGTGAGTACACATCGAATTGGCATCTGGAAATAAAATGTTATATAATTCCCTTTTCCCTTCGGTTCTCATTAACTTAACTACAGAATTTTCTAGTTTGCATGGTTGGTTGCTACGGTTACATTTTGAATCGTTGAGGAAGCCATTAAATTGACTGGAAAGTACCTTGACGTAAGAAGCGGATATTGATGGGTTAATCGAATGATTTAGTTAGGAGAGTATTTAAAAGTGTCGTTCAAGTTTACGCAGACGTACAATTAGGCGTCATTTGTATTATTGGGTACTCAAGTATGAATTCGGTTGCCATAGTTACAACCGATAGAGTCTATTACGACGAGAAAGCGAACCAAGCGTGATTATGTAATAAGCTGAATAATTCAGTTGTCGACTGGTCAACGAGATTAACACCTTGAATGGGTAATTTCCTTAAGTTAACTCAACACTTGGAAAATGAGGAATGAAAACCATATTACGTAATTTGTCTCATACGATGCGCCTTCGACAAATTATACGATTGGGGTAATAAAACGCCTGCCAAACATTGAAATATAGCCGTATTCAGTTACCGAGGCAACGAAAACTAAAACGGCCAAAGATTGCGATAAAACAGTCAATTGCGACGACTTTATCTTGATATGATGGGCGTTCCTTCACCAAAACTGTCAACATTCGTGTGTCGAAATTCGATGATGGATGACGTCATCATGACGTCATGGCTTTAACGTGACATTTTCGCTTATGAGAAAAGACAAAGGAAATTGACGATTAAGAGAATATCGCTAATTCTATTAGGGGAATACGTGCTTATTTTTAAACGCTTTCCTTTAAAAAAGCCGTCAGAAAGAGCAGAAGGTCATTTAACGGTTCATTAAATACGCTAATGTAAAACTTTATATATATATATATATATAGATTAATTTAACGTAAAGATATCCTAAGGACGAAATGAAAGGAATATATTTGAATAAATTAGTGGAAAGATTGTAAAAATTAACGGTTTAAAAATGTCAATTGTTAAAGAATTAGTATTAAGAGTAGGATACTTGAAATGAGAATGTCTTTTTCACAAGGTGTTTTGTTTGTTTAAGCAGTTGCACGTGCCGCTTTTACACATTTGTGTATATCGTTTTACGCCCCCTTTTTAATTCATAAGTTTACAAAGGGAAACCGTATCTACTTTAAACCGACTTCTGAAGCCGAAAATCTTTGCTTAATATTATTTAATTTGCATATTATACATTCAATATTCATTTGACCTTTCTCCTTCTATTTCTTTCTTTCTTTCTGCCCTACTCTCTCTCTCCTATCCAGCTGCTCAAAACACCTACAGTCTAAAACGCCTCCTTTAACGCTCTATTCAACTTTCATTTCTTTCAATTATATTGTGAATTGGTTCGATACGGCGACGCCTTTGGGGTGACTTTTCCTTTTAAAAGCATATCTTTGGATAATGGATGTCGCTACATGACGCCTGTCCACTGGACATTTCGCATATAGCCCAGCGTGTATTAAAAAGACAACGCTAAGGAATGTGTTGTGACGCCTTTTACGTCAGAATTGTTGCTTACGTAGTAGTCTTTTCAGTAAAAAGTGCCTCGAAGGTAAGAGTTTTATGGGTGAAAAATTATCGAAGCATATTGGATGAATTTTATTTAGCGTCTCCTTCAGCGTGTCAAATTATTTCTGTGTAATTATGTAACGGTCCTATTATATAATTCATTGCAGAATTACAGTTCAATAATTTACTTAAAAATTTGCAGGTATCGTCTTTTAAAAGAGTAATTTCAAAGATACTCTTTAGGAGGTAGGGGAGGAGGTGGGCGGTAGTAAAAAGGGGATAATTCTTTTTTCTCCCTCCTACCTCTACCTCCCCCCCCCCACCTCCTTCTCTGCTCTCCTAAACGGCCTCCTAGCTTTGAGTGACCGCTAAAAGGTTAATAGTGGACACTCCTACTCTGGAATTATAATCTTGTAAAAGGTGTGGCCAGAACGCCCATAGTTCCCCCGTTCACAAATATTATGTAATTCAATCTTTTTAGGGAAGCGCCAGCAGATAGAATGGAGAGTGCTCCTAAACGTCATTATACCATTGACATGTCCTCGATGACGTCACAACTATCTCCAACTGTCTCCAACTGGGCCTCTGGGAGTATGGAGAATTAGTAAGAAGCACCTCCTTTTAAACGCTTCATTATCTTTAATTAAGAAGGCTTTTTTTGAACTCGGTTGAACGATTAGTGAGGGACGCTTTGTTAGAAACGTTTCTTTTTTTTTTCTTCACGCATAATCGAGCAGGAGGAGGAAAATATAAAAAAAGGCGTCTCTAAAGCGCGTGCTTCGCGTGTTGGCGGACCACTTCAAACAGAATTGAAATTAATCGATTCCGATGAGGATTGTGCAAGAGGGAATGGAAAAAATGACAGGGCGCTTCGAAAATATTTTCAATAGCGTGACCGTGTAATTAAACGTATAGTCCTTGTTCCACAACTGGTTATGTAACGCTTGGTTACGTAATTTTTTCTTTTTTTTTCCAAATGTTCAAGCATACGATTCCCTTATTTCTTTTTCTCTATTACGATATGCTTGAGTATCTTCAGTTATTTTCTTTATCCCGAGTCGAGAGACCGTTATAGCTATTGTTCGACGGGGAGAAATAAAAGAAGGCGGAAGGAAGGGGAGGGGAAGAAAGGATAAGGGAACAATGTTTACCTACAGATGGCGTAAAGACGCTTACCTAACTAGTAATCGGTTAACGGCTATTTGATCAAAATATCAGTTTAAATATTAAGGGATCTAATACCCTATAAGTTGATAGGTTCATGAATATTAATGACATAAAGTGCTTTTGTAATCGGTGTAAGGCATCAATTAAGAAAACTTTTGATGTTATAATACGTATTTTACTAATATGACATCATCAGCGTTCAAGCGTTGAGAGTCATCTTTGTAAGAATTCAACCAGTTGTTTGATGCTTTCAAAAACAGATTGCAAGAGTTTACGCCTATTAAATGGACAATTTTAACGGTTGGAATGAACGAAAGTCACGTGATAAGTGCACTCTCTTCTTTCGAAACAAAAAAAAGGCTGGAGGAGAAAATGCACTATATAAACAAGGACAAAAGCAAAAAAAACGCTAACGCGATTAGCAATCGAATTAGGGACAATAATTGGGTGAACTTTCCTGCCATGACGTCATCATTCTATACGTTGAACACTCCTTAAAAAATAGTACATGAAAAGAACAAGAGATGGGTAAATAACAGAGTTGAATTAAAATGTTCACCAACAAAATAATGGAATGCACCTGCCCATCCCCTATATGTGTATAGGGATATATACATATACATTTATATATGTATATAGCTTTATATACCAGCCCATAGCGGAACGCAAACATTCTGGGTCATTCGTTCCGAGATCAAAGAGAAAATTCAACGACAATAGAGGCGAAAATAGGACAAAAGCTGCACTTTATGTTCCTAGAAGGCGCATCTGTCAAATTTTAGCACGGAACCTTTTCGAACGCGCTTTGATCGTCGTTGTTTAAGCCGCACCTGTTCAATTGGTTACCTATTCAATACCTTTATTTTTCTTTTAAACAAAACCCTTTACGCATCTTGACTCTTCTTCAGAGGATTAAGGAATAAGAAAGCGAAGAAGAAGGGGTAGAATAAGTGAGAGATATACCGTTACAGAATTACGTAATGCTAATAAGTTAAGTATTCCAATTAATTTAAATTAGCGCAATTCCTATAAGATGCAATCTGCATCTATATATATACCGTATATACATATATAACAATTCTTTCATTATACTAATGCTCGGTAAAGATTATGAATATTCAATAGGTA